CATTTCTCATAGGTTTCTCATTCCGTTCAACATTATGAAGTCTGGCTTCATCATTCAAAGAAGCAGGGAGAAGGAAAGAGAGAAGCAAATGAAATCTATCAAGCTCCAAGCACTGAGCTTCACTTCATGCTCACAACACTCTGAAAATGATACTGTAATCTGAGGTTTTACAGATAGGTATGCTGAGGTTCTACTTCGCTGAGGTCACATGACCAGTAAAGGGGCTCTTCAGGATGGTTCACGTAAGGCCCTCTTGGCAAAAGCCTTCTTACGTTACTTGTACCCATAGTCCATTTCTTAAGTGTTACCAATATATGGCCATCTTTTCTACCAACTAACCCAGTCACCACCCTGGCCACCACTAACTGGACATAGGACTGGTACTGAACCCAAAGGTGGCAGCCCAAGAGGAGGCCTGCTGTGAAATGGTGTCTTGCCAAACAAGTATGAGCCTCTCCTGTAACAGAGTGCAAGGTTCTTCAGGAGACAAAAGAAAGTAGCAGTAGCACCAAGACCCCAGTTGAAAGGCAGCCTCAGCAGGCATGAAGCAATCTGTCCAGCACTCAGTCAGAGGTATTTACAAGCAGCTGGAGGACTCAAGGAGAGGAATGCTAGAACCAGGGCCTGCCAAGCAGATACCTTTAAGCAACTTAATTAACATTCATAAAGTACTAATGAAGAAAATGGTGTATAAACCAAGGATAGAAAGATTTCCTAAAAATTATCAATCCCTGAAAATGAAAATTACAAAGATGAAATTATTGTAATCAATATTTCAACAATACATTACCCAATGGTTTCAGGAACCGCAGAAACCAAACACTCATTTTTAGGGAAACAAGGCTTCAATAACAAAATATGACAAACGTGGTGACAAAAATCAACCAACCTTCACAGAGATAGCAAGATCAAAATCACTTGAGAATGTCTTTTTGGTTTTTGTTTTTAATAATAAGATAAAATCTCTCCAGTCATTCTACTGTGCAGCCAGGGATGAGATTCATTACTCTAGATCAGGGGACCTCAAAGTATGGCCCAAGAATCATCAACATCAGCATAATCAGAATTGTTAGAATGAAAATTCTTGGTGCCACTTTGGCTCTACTGGAACTGAAATTCACAGGATGGGGCAGGCACTATATTGTACAAGACCATTCAGGTGACTGTTATGCACCCTCTAGTGTGGAAAACCACCTTTTATTATAGAAATATAATGTCTGTGTCTGTACTACCGAAAGCAATCTACATGTTGATGCAATTCCCATCAAAATCCCAATGACTTTTATCACAGATACTGGAAAAATCTACTCTAAAGTTCACTTGGAAACACAAAAGACTGTGAATAGCCAAGGCAATACTCAGCAAAAAAAGCAATGCTGGAGGTATCACAATACCCAACTTCAAACTACATTACAAAGCAATACCAATAAAACAGCATGGTACTGGCACAAAAACAGACATGAAGACCAGTGGAACAGAACAGAAGATCTGGATATGAATCCACACAACTATACCCACCTCATTTTTGACAAAGGTACCAAAAACATATGATGGAGAAAAGACAGCCTCTTCAACAAATGTTGCTAGGAAAAGTCGTTACCTGTCTGCAAGAAACTGAAACTAGATCCATATCTATTACCCTGTACTAGTATCAACTCAAAATGGATCAAGGACCTACATATCTGACCTGAAACTCTGAAGTTACTACAGAAGGAGCAGGAAACACTCTGGAACTAATAGGTATAGGCAAGGACTTCCTCAATAGAACCCCAGCAGCCTAGCAACTAAGAGAAAAGATAGACAAATGGGACTTCATAAAACTAAAAAGCTTCTGCACAACAAAAGAAATGGTCTCTAAACTGAAGAGACCACCCAGAGTGGGAGAAAATATTCACCAGCTATACATCAGACAAGGGACTGATAACCAGAATTTACAGGGAACTTAAGAAACTAAACTCTCCTAAAATCAATGGACCAATTAAAAAATGGGCAACTGAACTAAACAGAACTTTCTCAAAAGAAGAAATTCAAATGGCAGAAAAGCACATGAAAAAATACTTACCATCTGTAGCCATAAAGGAAATGCAAATCAAAACCATACTAAGATTCCACCTCACCCATTAGAATAGCCATCATCAAAAAATACCACCACCAACATGTGTTGGTAAGGATGTAGGGAAAAAGGAACCCTAATCCAGTGCTGGTGGGAATGCAAGCTGGTGCAACCACTCTGGAAAAAAATTTGGAGGCTTCTTAAAAATCTAAACATAGACCTGCCATATGATCCAGCAATCCCACTCCTGGGGATATACCCAAAGGAATGCAACACAGGTTACTCCAGAGGCACCTGCACACCCATATTCATTGCAGCGATAGTCGCAATAGCCAAGTTATGGAAATAACCAAGATGCCCCACTATTGATAAACGGATCAAGAAAATGTGGTACATGTACACAATAGAATTTTACTCAGCCATGAAGAAGAATGAAATCTTATCATTTGAAGGTAAGTGGATGGAACTGGAGAACATCATTCTGAGCGAGGTCAGCTAAGCTTGGAAGACCAAAAATTGTATGTTCTCCCTCATACGCAGACATTAGATCTAGGGCAAATGCAGCAACGTGGTTGGACTGGCATCACATGACAAGGGGAGAGCACATATGGGTGATATAGAAATAGGTAGAAAACCCAAAACATGAAAGCATTTTATGTCCCCACTCCAGAGGAGCTAATAGAGAAACCTTAAAGCAACAGAGGTTTTCATGAGAAGGGGATCAGTAACCAGGGTAAAAATCAGTTAGAGATGAATCACATGGGTCACAACACATGTACATGAAAGCAATGCTAGGAATATTTCTGTATAGCTATCCTTAACTCGACTAGCAAAAACAGTTTGTCTTCCTTATTATGCTTATGTCTTTTCTTCAACAGAACTAGTGATAAACTGCCTGGAACTGAGGGGGGAAGGGGGGAAGAGGGAGGGCAGGGAGGAGAAATGACCCAAACAATGTATGCACATGTGAATAAATGAATAAAAAAAAAAGAAATATAATGTCTATAAACAATTACCTAAAAATAATCTTAAGTATGATGGGCAAAAACTAATTTCTGGCTGGTGGAGTGGCTCAAGTGGTAGAGCACCTGCCTAGCAAGCATGAGCCCCCTGAGTTCAAACCCCAGTACAGTACTGCCAAAACAAACAAAAACACCTAATTTCCTTAATAAGAAAACTCATGAAAAAACAAAAAAGGGGAGAAATAGCCTAAACAATGTATGCACATATGAATAAGTGAATAAAGAAATAAAAAAAAGACAAAAAAGCATCTTGATAAAAAAGGACATTGAGACACAGGAATAAATGAGTCATAAAAAGATGGTTACATCCTTGACTACATAAAAATCAACATACAAACATATAATACAAAGTGTGCTTTAAATAGGGGGAAAGGCAAATGACAAAATAATAGCCATGGTAGAGAGTTCAGAGAACAGTGTTGTTGTTTTAATAAAGATGGTTTACTACTACATGTAGCATACAAAAGTTAAAAATAAAATAGTAAAATTAATGGTAGGAAATAAAGGTTTATATGGCTCCATCTATGGCCTCTGAGCTTTCTTAAGACCAACAAAGGAAGGAAAAAAACCTTAAGTATGATATACTTGAAAAAACATAATTTTAAACTTCTGTACAATAAAAAGACTCCATAAACAAATGAAAAGACAAACTCAGGATACTTAAAACACACACAACAGACGATGGTCATTGCAGGAATATAAAGAGCTGCCACAGATCAATTCTAATATCTAATAACAAGCAAGAAACTGATAAAACCCATTACCAAGAGTTACAAGACAGAAAATTCAAAAACACAAACATGAAAATCTACCCAAAACCACTAGTAAAAGGGAAAGTGAAAACTAAAACAATGAGATACTATTTCTTATCCTACTGGATTAGAAAACACCAAAAAGTTCATCAATATCAAACTGGTACGTTCACTAGAGATACACATTAGTACAGCTGCTTAGGGGAAAAATACGAAAAAGTCAAGAAAAGCAGAGACAGCCTATGGAGCAGTTCCACCTCAGGAATCAATTCTTAACTAAACAGGCATATAAACACAAAGAAATCTGCAGTATATAGCAAGGAAAAAAAATGAGCTTTTTTTTGCTCTTTTGTCATTGAAAAAAAGTGAAATCACCTAAATGTCCATCAGGTGGGAAACAGATACACAAAATCTGGCACAATTATACAAAGACATACTCTGCCACAGTTAAGAGAAATAATTTACAGCTTGTATGTAACATAGGTAGCTCTCAAAAAGGTAACTAAAAACAAAAGACACAGAATGAAATGTATTTTAACACCATTTACATAAATTCTTAACACCTTTGAAGCTATATTTTCTATCTATATCAAAAGAGTTTAAAATAAACTATATAAATACACAGCAGCCTCATAATAGAGGCAGGGTTACTTCTAGGGGGATGGGGAACAGGCATTAGAGATGGTGTCAAAAGGACTTCAGCTGGGGGTATGGTGGCACAAACCTTTAAGCACAAGGATCTAAAATTCAAGGCCAGCCTGGCTATGCATCAAGACCTTGTCTCAAAAAATCAAAAATAAAAACAACAAAAGACCTAGTTTAATTTGTAGCAACCTAAAATATCCAAAAGGATACAAAACATTAATTTTTATTTTAAAAACTGCTTTAAATGAGTTTGGAAGTAATGAATTTGGAAGTAAACAAGCCAAAGTATCCATTTTTAAATCTAGATGAGAGAAATACAGGTATGTATTATCCTCCATTTTGCATTTTTCTTGAGTTTTTCAATCACCCCGTCCAAAAAAGTGTTAATACAAATACAGTAACATGCTGTACACAATATGAGCATTAGTACCACACTATGATCTGATCCTCATGTGCTCAAATTGTGTGGTTTTAATTCTTTTACTCTAACACAAGTAAATAGTTTAGTCAAAATTATCTTACACTTACGCATGTAAGGCAGTTTTTCTGGACAGGGGAGGTATGGTGAATATGTGAAGTTTTCCGGAAGATACGTCGTTGTTTGAACAAGATAGTCACTTGAATTATTGCCTTCAGGATAATCTTGGAGAGAAAAAACAAAGTTACAACCAAAACCTTGCCTTTTGCTCTGCCTCAAATATAAAGTATGCCACCAGCACTGTAAGAAGACTACAATATGCAATCTACAAAGTACTTAAAAGCAATTACCTAGAAAGATCTAGAGAAAAGCAAGCCACTGCTGGAATGGCCCCCTCAGTGTGATTTCCCAGGAGACTAGAGACCAGCCTGCCCTTATGCTTGCACAGGTACCATCTGCAACCATCTGAGAATACCTGCTCCCACCCTCCCTGGCTAGACCAGCTCTAAAGGGAGTGTAGGAATCCTCTCCACCGTCAAACAGTCATACTCAACCCCAGCTCAGTTCTACTGGCATCCTCAGAGCAGAAGGTGGGAGTCATGTTTTCTTACCACATCTCACTCATAAAAAACTGAGACTAACCCACTCAACTTACTTCTGTAACAGTCAACCTTTACATTAGTCCCTCTGAACCTGCAGGCTGATGGCCCTGGGGAGCCCTGGAGCTACTGTGCCATTAGGTCCATCTGCTTTAGAATTAGCTAGTTATACCACACAGAGGGCAGTGGTCTGGAGCACCAAAGTCAAATGCCTTCATTCAAATCCTTGCTCCAATACATACTTGCTTTGAGGGTTAGACACTATGCAGTTTTTCATCTATGCCTACCTGTTACTGTCATTTTCAAATTTAAATAACATAAAACATTGCCAGGTGCCCAAGGCTTATAATCACAGCTACTCATGAAGCTGAGATTGGGAGGATCGTGGTTTGAGGTCAGCCTGGGTAAAGAGTTTGTGAGGAAAGACTCCATCTCAACCAATAGCTGGGTGTGGTGGTGCACACTCAAACTCCACAGAGGCTGAGATCGGGAGGATCACAGTTCCAGTCTAGTCCAGGTAAAGCAAGTTTGTGAAACCCCATCCCAACAGAAAAAACTGGCATTACAGTAAACACCTGTCCATTCCAGCTACTGCAAGAAGCATAAACAGGAGGAGGATCACTGTCTAGACTGGCTCAAGTATAACATAAGACCCTATCTCAAAAGTAACCAGAGCAAAAAAGGATTGGAGGCACAGCTCAAGTGGTAGAGTACCTGCTTCACAAGTGCAAAGCCCTGATTTTGGATCCCAGTACCATCAAAACAATAAATAAATAAAATATCTAAAGAACTTAAAGCAATCTCTGGCCCATATAAATATTTAATAGTTGTAGCTGTGAGTGACTGGGTTAGAAATAAGCGCCTAATCTAACAGAAAAAGTTAGAGCCTTAGAATTTTTGAACACGGAACCAGACATCACATTCCAGTCCTTCTCTGGAGCAAAGTTTTAAAATACAGATCTGAGAACCAGGACATGCCAGTTTCCTGCTATGCAGATGAAAAGCAGGCTGAGGAGAATGCAGCCAATAAGAGATAAGAGACAGCAGCGGCTGATTAGCCACAGCTGTTTTGTCTCCTAGACAATGAAGCCCTAGTAGACACTTCAGGAAAACATGAAGGTATTCTTTCTATCAGTAATCTGCTCCAATGAGATTAAAAACTAAACTTATGACCCATGGGAAAATGATAGAAGTATAATTGTGAAGTGCGTGAGAAGAGCCAAAGCAAACTAAGTACTTCTCCTGAACACATAAACACTTATTCATATCAAAATGGAGCTATGGGCTACAGCCTGGGGGCCAGGACCACACTTCAAAGAGACAAAGCCCACTTCCAGGCCCACCTATGCAACAGGGCCCTGCCAGGGCTACTAAGCACAGGTTGATGGGATGGACAAAGGTCCCCAAGTCCCGTACCAAGGAAGAAACAGAAGAAGAAAAGAAGGTTTAATTCCAAAGGACTGCATGGAACTTCACTAAAATTAATAGGACATCAGTGAGGTGTTAACTGTATTGCCAGAAAAGCCCAACATGATAAAAAGACTGACTACCATCAACTGCTAAGGCCTATTCCACCAGGAAGTGGGAAGGTCTCATTAAGAGAATCTTACAATGTCCCTCTGTGTAGAAGCCCTAGAAAGCACTTGACGTGAAAATCCTCCAACCCATGGGGGAGTGGAGAATTCAGTGGTCACTGTTTTGTGCATCCAGGGACAGCTCAAGGAGGAAACACTCAAGGCCTACACTCTGTATCTCACTCAAATGCAGCTGAAAGACTTCACAGGTAAAGCACGATATATAAAATAAGTATAAGGAAGTCTAATGGGGTTCTGATTCTTTCCTTAAAATGCTTTTTAAAATAGATCAAGGTATTTATCAAATTTCAAGTGGTATTTTAAAAATGGTTTCCCTTTTATGGGGAACTCCTAACTTCACTAGTGGTAGGAGCCAGTTCTCTAGCCATGAATTTAGATTCTTGTCACTTCATTAAAAATAGCTGAGGTTATTATTATGGGTACTGCATTAGATTTTGGTCAGACTCCTTGATTTATATCTTATTTATCTTTAACCAACAGATTTCAATACTTACTAATAATGTAATTTTAAATGCCTTTCTTTTCATTTTAAAAGATTAGACATACTTTTAAAAATCAAGCGCAAAAAGAAATCTTAAAGATTACAAATGAATTTTGTCAAAATTTCAGAAATCAAACCAAGAGATTATAATAAAGAGAAAAATAGCAGGAAGGCAAACAAACAATATAGGAATATTTGATAGAACTGAAGAACAAGTGTTTCCATAATGACAGGCTCAGTCATATCTAGCAAGAAAAACAAAGGTGTTCGTTGTCAAATTTCACAATCCTAAAAAAAGAAAAGAAAAAAAAAAAAACCTGAAAGTTTCCAGGAAGAAAAAACCAGTCCACTTCTCAAGAGTAACATGGGAGGAGAGAAAATTTCAACCCTGCATTCTTGCGCCCAAAAAGCTTAGGAAAAACCTGTACTGCACAGAAAGCTTAGCAAATGGGCCACCTCGGTCAACAAGAAGCCCCACAAAACAATGACCATCCCTTGACTTGGGGCGGGGGAGGGAGAAGCATTATTTACGCGCTCTAAGCAATACTGATTTGAACTTAAGTCCTGATACAAGTATTCTGGGGGTGAAGAGGATGTGAAAGCAGTGTGCTATGAAGTAAATGTCTTTCCTCCACAGTAGGAAAGGTTACAATTGGTAAATCAAGAAACAGCAGAATAGAGCTGGAGTGTAGCTCACGGCAGAAGGCATGCTCGGCATGCTTAGCATGCTCAGGTCTTGGGTTCAATCAGAAGGGAGGGAGGAAAGGATGGCAGAAAGAAACACAGATAAACACAGAAGAGGCTATTAACAATATGTTCCTTTGCACAAGTTACATAGTCCCCCTCCACACACACACATTTCATCTTGCAGTTTTTTTTTTTGCACAAGCGACCAGAAAGAACAGATAGTCTAGCTACATAAATATGATTTTTTTTCCTCATCTCTTCATTCAGTCAATTTTTCTTAAGTACTTACACTACACATTTGGAGCAGTGGAAATGGAAGATAAATAAGACTTTCCCCAGAGTCCACTGCCTTTGTGTGTTCCAAAACTGATATTTAAAAATAAACCTTAGGCAGAAAAATATTAACTTTATCATGTAGCCCTTAAGTAATTTCTTAATGTCATATGGTTAACTTTAAATCAGAACATTTTCTTCCTTTGTATAATTTATTAATAGGTGGACCCCTCCTTTTTTCTGTATGCTATGATTCTATAGACCCACACCAACTCACTGAAATTTCAAGTTCTCTAGACATTGATACACAACAAATTGTTAACAGTCACTCCCCATGGGGAGTCTGGTGACAACAAGAGGGCCAGAGAAAGCAATTTCACTTTTTAATCTAATTCTAGAATGACTGAATCCTTCATAAAAGAACATGCTAATCACTTTTAACAGCTTTAAAGAACCAAATAATTTTTAAATGCCTCAAGGTAAGCATTATCCCAGTGTATTCACTTCCTTTGTTGGAGTACAAACTTTCAGAGTACAACTCTAACAAACGTGAGTTCAAATTCAATCCTTGAGTCATCTGTCCAATGATATGTATCTTGTATATACGAATCTGTCCACCACGAGGCCACTAGTATGAATATCTCTTTTAATTGAAATCAAATTGTCTTTGATTTCCAGCATCTACAAAAGTGCCTCTGGCATAGCAGAAATGTCCTACAAATAAACACTACACAACTGATAATATAGCCAAAGATGATTTAAGCTTTTGGAGACTCTACTGTAGTAAACCCACAAAATCATTATTCCCACAGAAGTGGCTAGGTGAGCAGTGTCCATCAAGCATAACCATTACTTTCAAAGTCAGGAACAGTTTCCAGAGGTTATGCATGACAGATGCATCTGAGAGAGCCACCACAACCACTGTAAGAGACAGACATTATTTCATCTAATGAATGGATGCAATTAAGATGAGTTCTGGTCCCTGACCTGATTCCTCCCTTCCAGAACCACAACCAAAGAAAAAGGGTACACCTACTGAACAGGTCCCTCTCTCTCAACTAGACCTCATCACTTAAGGGAAAAGGAGAAAAAAGATCAAAGGATACCTCTCAGTGGTTTTATTTTTCCTGCAAAAGGGAACCTTAAAATGGATTATGGAAACTGCATGAGAGTTTTGGTCTGCTTATCACTAATTCATGTCAGGTGTGCCACGCCTGACAGCCTTACTTTATGAATCCATCAAATAAGGAAGTGTACTGGGTCATTTCTAACTAATCTACCAACTATAATGTATGACCCTTACTACCTGCTTCAGTCATTATTCTATAAATACATCTTGTTTTCTTCATTTGCCTGGCTCCACAGAATACAAAGAAAGCATCGTTTGATTTAAGAATACATGATTTCTGTACAAAAATATTTATTGTGATGCTGCATAAAGTCAGGTACAGTGTAAAAACTTTTAAAAATCAAATGAATTCATAAATATCATGACCTATCTACCTTTGTATCTACATTTTAATTAAGTCTCTATGTGGTAGTCGATTCTCCTCTTAAGGCTCAATTACCTCTTTGTACATCTGATTGGCTTGGCCATTGTCTTTTTGGCAATTTACATCTGTATAAGTCCGTGAAGAAATAACTAACTGCACTATACTATTTATGTTTCCACCTGTCCCAGAGCCTAGAGAGTTCCTCACATAAAGAGAGAATGTACTTTTTAATGCTGTATCTCCCATGTCTAAAGTATGCAAACTATACCAACTGCTGAATAAATGCTGGCTAAAAGAACCTGGCAGAACCTCCCAGCTCCCAACCCAAACTCCATTTCCCTTCTCCTTAGGTAACAGAACCAGCACAGTACCAAATCAGCTTTTAAAATATTTTTACTTCTAAATTTGACCTACAATTCAGAAGACCAATTAATGCAACATATCAGTTAATGAGACTTTTATTGTATTACTAAAACATCTACTATGTTAAGACAGATTTTCTAAAAGCACTTAAGGTGAAAGATTAAAGGAAAACAATAAGTGTTTTGATTTGTGGCATCATACATAAATTGGACAAGTAACTATAATGAATTTTGTAAAAGCATTTGTGACATTAAATTGCAAATTAGTATGCAACCCTTACGAATTTCTTGGAAGGGTCGACAGTTAAGAAAAAGTGCAAAGACAGACTTTCTATTGGAGAGGTAAGAAAAGAGAATGAGAATTATGAGTGCAAGTTTACAGTGGCACAAAGAACTGCTGACACGTCTTCATTTTATACTGTATTTGATATTAAACTGTTTAAAACAAGAACATAGAGGGTGCAGCAATTAACAGTCCCAGTGATCCATTCAATGTAACACCCTATAACACTTTGGAAGACACTAGAGCTACACTGCCATAAAGGAGCATCAGCAAATTTCACAATGGTTAAATACAACCGCACCACTTCACCATCATTAAATCACTAGTTTGGCCTAGTAGATCTTAATCTTACATGAGTTTAACAGAGACTCCACTTCCAGATAAGAAAGGACCAGCTACTAGCTTTATGTTTCCTTAAAATAAGCCCCTTAAAGTCATAAGATTATTAAAAATATTCTGTACTTACAAATAAAGTGTTTTCTAGATACCGTTGGTAAAACATTTTAGAACGGGCATGAACAAACAGTAGCATAGTTCACTAAGATGAATAAATTAGGCAAGCATAGTGGTGCACATCTATAATTTCAACACTGAGGCAAGAGAATGGTGAATTCTAGGCCAGCCTGGGCTACATAATGAGACCCTGTCTCAAACAAAAAGATAAATCAATTATTCTCTTAATTTCTCTTAAATATAATAGGTGAAATGAAAAAGTTGAAGTTGCTGTTTATATTCTGTTTGTGTTTGGAAGAACTGAGATCACAACTTTATACAGCCTAATTTGATGGACAACCCTGATTTTCACAATAATATAATCTACAAGTACACTTAATGAGATACTTTCATCTTTAACAGGGACTTATTGGAGCCAAAACTAGAGCGTAAAAGATCTATCTTACTGATCTGTGACTACAGGGTAAGAAACAAAGCAAAGCAGGATTAAGGAGGAAGTAGTCTTACCTGTCCCGTTGAAGGTAGCATTTTTATTTGTGTACAACCTGATCATATGTCCTATTGTTTTTACATTTTCTCTCAACATTATACCTCGAGCTTGTACCATAAAGAGATATGTGTTGGCTATAAAAGAAGAAAAAAGAAGAATGTCATGATCCAGTAAGTTTTCCTTACTTAGCAATATTCATTTTGTAAATGACACAATGTACCCCCAGCACAACAATAAGAAAAAAAAGACAATATTCAGAATTAGCAAAGTACCCTGTGAAAACAGACTGACTCAATTACCTGTGGGCAATTAACATACCCAAAGAAAAAAATGAAGTCTAGGATGACTATTTCCTACTTTAAAAATTTACAAAAACTGATTTTTAAAACAATATAGATGAGAAAAATAGAGTGGCAGTATCCATCTATTAAACAGAAAGAAACTAAATGAACAAACTAAAATTACAGTGAAGTCCTTTATCCTTAAATGATTTTCTACTGTAAAATGAACTTAGCCATTTCAAAAAAAATATTTTATAAGTTCTCAATTCTATAGCTTAAAATTCACTTTCTCTAATTCTGTGTTAATTCCCTCAAACCAAAAGCTAAACAAGGGAAGGGATTCCTTATTTAAATGTAAATATACCACAAATCACTAGTCTAGTATGGATGAAGATCTTGCAATGTATCCCATAAATCTCAGTGTGTTTGAGGAATGGGGTGATCTAGAATCATTATTTTGGTAATTTCTAAGAGTTAATTAGTTGAACTTTTACACCCCCTTTCAATGACCAATCTACCTATAAAGATTGCAAAAATACACACGACCAAAAATCAATACACATTTTAAGGCTTGTCACCTTAATTCTTATGTGCTAAGTGTTTCAAAAATAGGTCCTTACTTTCTTCCAGTTGGAGAAACTGGGTAACTGACAACAAAACAGAACACCTGACTGGCATGCCACATGTCCTTGGGCAGACAGGGGACTGAAGTCAGAAAATCCTCTGCTTATCCCCCATCTGCTAGTGTGGTGCAAAACATGGGCCAGATCACAGAATCCCAATTTCCTCATTTAAAAAAGGCAGCCTTAAAAAGTATGACAAAAGACATTAAGTTACCTTTACCCAGGTTATCAGCTTTGTATGTCCTCATTTAGAGATATTTCCATTCAGAGATACATATATGTATATATTTTCTTCTCCTTCCTTCTTTATACAAATGAGTATATTATGCACCAAGAATATCTGATTCTTATTTTTATTGCTATACTGTGTTCCAGTGGTTATTCAGTGTTATTCAGATAATCCCATTTTAAAGCCTCTTTCACTCTAAATTCTCTCCATTCAGACAAAAATCAAAAAAGAACAAGGCTCAGTTAAAGGACTGTCAGTGTTAAGAGAAGTTGTCATTGAGCACAGCAAAAAGTCTCTCAAAAAATGAATGCTAAATGCAAAAGCTAACAACAACAACTAATTTTCTAGGCTGTATTCTACTTCTCAGGACAGTAGAAAGAGGAGCAAAATGTAATGTTTACTATCTCCTTTCCCATTTTTTTTTGTAATGAGCACAGCATAAATAAAACTAGTAGAAAAGCAGAGTAAAATGACTTTTTCTTTCACCTTTAATCCACAGAAGAGATAAACAGAAATTCAGGTTTCACATAAGCTTTACCTCTAACATTTTTAAGCATATGTCTGCATGCTTTCTAGAAAGCAGTCCTGTAATTAGACTTAACTTGTTTAGGCTTGAATGTATTATACAAGGTTACAAACACCACAAGATTTTATTATGTTTCTGCACTTGAGCATGTGTTAAAAGACTGAAGAAAAGAGATGAAGAGGAAAAAGAAAGCTAAAATGTGTGAAAATGTTCAATAAAAGCCAAACTAACATTAACAGTTCTACCTAAACCAAGATCCAAAGTTCATCTGAAGTGCAGGGAAAAGGTACCAAATAGATTATTAAAGCCAACTTGTTGACAGCAACTTGGATTATTTAATTCCAAAGTGATATATACAATTTGATACCAGTAATATAAGTATCATGTTTACTCTTTAGTAAGCTACATACAGACCTGCCCAAGAGCAGCAAAAATGAGCTAAAGAAACTCAGACTTCTGTAGATGATGGTAGGTAAGAGAAAATGTGAATTATTGTGTGTCTGAAAACATACATTTTAAAAAAGTTATATAGTTTACAGTTATAGGTAACAAAACTGTTAGTGGGGAAAATTACTGATGGTACCTGTGACAAAGGCGAGTTATTTACCAAGAGTGTGCATTTAGTACTCACCATATAGATAGATGGAGGGCAAAAGGAAAGAAAAGTAGACACCAAGCTCTCCAGTGGAAAATCTATTATCTTATTTAAAATCATTTACAGCCAAGTGAGTTACATTCTTCAAGTTAATGGTCCTCATAGGTTTAATCCCTGAAGATTAAAACCCATTAAGGAATGAAGGTGTGTTTAAATACAGAGTAGCTGTTAACAGGGACAAAGTGATGTGCCAAAGTATTGCAAGTCACACTAAACAAACCAGCATGACTAACACAACAGCACTGACTAACACAACTACATTAACCCATGTTCAGCCAAATGCTTACCAATTATCATCAAAATAAAATGTAATGTCTCGTTGGCAAGACTTTAAAAGGCAATCCCTGTCTAAACTTTCGATTGCAATTTGTAATAAGCTACAATTCAGAAAATAAGCAGGAAAGTCTTTCTTTTCTTGCTGTTGGGTCTCCAGACAACTCAAAAAGTATACTAAAAACACCGCAGCTTAATTAAAACCATGTTGTATGTTCTTTCATTTAGTTCATTTTCTATTTGCCTCTGCATAATGTCACATTAATCTAACTTATTTACCAGTTACGGTTTCAGGGAGAAAGGGCTAAAAACACAATTAGAAAAGGAGAGGAAAGAAAAAGGAAAAGCGGAAACTTCAGAAAACAATAGTTTATGAAAGCATCTAGGCATCCTACCCAGGATGCATGAGGAAAGAGGTTTATGAACTTGTCTCTTTCTCCACCAAGAAAATTAAGGAACTGCTATAAAGTGTCCCCACCCCTTTCCACAAGCAGGTTTATTCCCTGAAAGCACTGTTTGTATTCGTAAGGAGATGGAAGTGCTAGTCTGTGGGCACCTAGAAATGTTGCTAGGCTTTGAAGAACTCCAACTCAGTGTCCCTCTGCACTTGCCTAACAAGTGTTAAACCCTAAATTCAAAACCCAATACCACCAAAAATAAAATAAAGAAAAGAAAAAGGAAAAACTGGAACTGGGATGGTTAATTACCAGGAAAAATGACCTAGAGTGGAGATGAGAAGGTAAAGATCCAATGTAAGCAGGCCACAAATAAGAGGCCCAAAGATAAACAATTCCAAGGTGAAATAATCTTGGTTTAAACACAAGTAAAGAAGCTACAGACTAAAGAAGGAGGGAATGATCAACCAAGTCAAATACTGGTAAGGCTAAGGAGAAAGACTTTAAATGACAGCTTAAATTAAAAAACAATGAAACCTAACGCACAGTATATACTCTTTGCCAGGGATCCTTAGATATGCTTTACACGTACCAACCTATTTAATCTTCACAACCGGCCCTATAAGGTAGGTGTGCTAGTATTATTCTCAATCTGCAGATAAAAAAATTGAGACAGGTAGTTAAGTAACTTGCCCAAGTCCATACAGTTATTATGTTGGAGAAGTCTGGCTTTAGTAAGCTATCTTCACCATCACACCTTTTAGCCTCTTAACAATGCTATTAGAAGATCTCCGTCAACCTTCAAGAGAGAAGTTACCTTTGGAAACAAAACAAAAATGGCAGAGTTCAGCAAAAGTGACAAAATGAAAGCAGTTAAGTTTCCGAAATGGAAGGCTGGTGATCAGCAAGGTCCCAGGAAAGTTCTTAGGAAGAGGAGGGGTCTGAGCATGACTATGGGCTGAGTGAAGGAAGCTGTCAGAAAGAATAAACAATTTACAGCACAAAAGAAGGAGGGAAAAGAACATTTCCATTGACAGGCAGTATAAGCAGAGGCTCTGAGGAGCACAGGGACAGAGCATATCCAGGGAACGAATGATTCAACCTGAGTAGAGTTTGGTAGCAACGAAAATTAAGCTGGGAGATCCCAGTGCATGGACAGTTTGAAAACCCAGAAAGGAGGGTGAGAGGCCTGGAGATCATTGTGAGGATAAAACATGGCATGAACAAAAGTGAGAAAGAGCCAGATAAGGAAAGTTAAGAGGGTGTGGTCTGAGGCACCAGCCAAGAAAGCATGAGGCTCTGAGTTCAATCCCCAGTAACAGAAAAAAGAAAAAAAATATATAAATATATATATATATGAAGGTGGTAGTCTGAAAAGGGACAGGGAGGGCAGAAGAGAGTAGAGCAGAGAGAAAGTAAAAGGCAAGAACCAGACTTTTCTGATGGTCACCAGCAGGACAGCTACCGGGGATAAAGCAGAGTGGGAACACTGTGAATCCAGTACTATTAACTGCAGAAATCCTCCAGGAATTCAGGGCATTGGAGGACAGAGGTTCCTAAAAAAGAGGACATGAATTAACATTTACTGAGTACCATCTTTGATTAACCACTGAGCTAAAAATTATATATAAATAAAAACATATGCAAATGTATGCACAATTTTATTTCATAGAGTTCGTATAGCCACTGACAGTGGGTTGAATGGAGCTCCCAAAAAGATATATCCACATCCTAATTCCTAGAATCTGTGCATGTTACCTTATTTGGAAGGGGGTCCTGGCAGAGGTAGTTAAGGAATTTGAGATGAGGAGAGCATTCTGGATTATCTAGGTAGGCCCCAAATCCAGTGTAAATTGCTCTTATAAAAGAAAGGGAGGAAAATTTTTGCAAGCATGCATGCACTCATGAAAAGACATGAAAACAAAGGCAAAAAATGGAGCCATGGAGCCACAGAGGGAAGCCAACAGGCACCTGAAGCCTCAAGAGGAAATGTCCTGCCAACACCTTAATTTCAAACTTCTGGTCTCCAGAACTGTGAGAGAATAAATTTCTCCCGTTTTAAGCCATTCACTATGTGGTAAGGTGTTAGGTAAGTCCTAGCTTATCTCGCTGCAACATCAGGAAAAACCTCAGAAGCAAGTGACATCAGTGG